CTGGCATCGTCTTCTAGTGACCTGTCTTTTTCTAGAATCTATTCTGCATTTCCCATCTGACCATTTTCGGCCAAATTTTTGCTCCAAATAGTTGTTTGCCTTTGACATTCGACTGCCATACACGATCGATCCGTTGTTATTCACCTCTTTCCAGTAACTTCCTGCCGCATCCCCTAGCAGTAATGGAATTGTTGCTGGTGAATCCGAATTTTATGAATCGTGTCATGTACGATACCATGCGAGACATGGATCGAGCGGAGAGGAGAATTTTTCCGTACTGGAGAAATGCAGATCATTCAGTACTTCATGTTGCGAACGATACTGTAAAGGTTCGTACTCATGATTCTGCCGTACTAGAAAAACCCGGATCACAAAGTATTGGTACTTCCAGGCTGTTGATGACGACAAGAAGTTCGCGGTCTCGTTGGATGTCTCGCAGTTTCGCCCAGAAGAGCTGAATGTGCACCTGGATGGAAGAGTACTGACCGTTGAGGGCAAGCAGGAGCACAAAACCAAGAACAGTTCAATGCATAGGTAAGCCTTCGTGTAATTATTTGTTGGGTGCATTCTGGGTCCTTATTCACGCCGTTCAGGTCATTCACTCGCAAATGGCTGCTGCCCGAAAATGTCGATCTGGATGCAGTACGTACACAAGTTGACAACAAAGGCCATTTGTCCGTGGATGCGCCGAAGCACATTGAAGGTCACCCGAAGAAGAGAAGAATCCCCATTACGGCGGCTCCATCTGCTTCATCCGCTCCATCTAAAAAGTAAAATCGATGTTAAAGAATTTTCATAAAACTCTATTTTACACCTTATTATTGCTTGAAGGAGGAGGTGTGGGTCGGGAGTTGAGCACTGAGGGCGAATGGTGACAGTTTGCGCGTGCATCTTCTACTCGCCTTCGGCACGAACATGCTACAGTAGGAGCTTTGTGTTGAGACAACTAGCTAAAAGGTACCGCGTGTGATGTCAAATTTTCTAAAGAGAAACCCAATTCTGATCTCCTTGCACACTCCCTCACTTGAGCAATACAAAACTGTTAGATTTCTTGTTATGTTCTCTCAATAACAATTTATACACCTAATTAGGCTATCTCTCTATTCGGGCATTTACGCCAGTTTAATTGTTCATAATCGATAAACTTGATGTTTTTCTGCTTTGTCATGCTGGACCATAAAAAAGGTGCTGCTCATGTGGTTGTGACAAGTAGAGACTGGAGAGCTATGACTAGATGGAGCAGAAAACTCAAAGTCAATAAGCTGCACCTCCGTCTTGCTTTAGAAGTTCACGATATTCCAGCCACCATGCAGCTATGTAGACATCCATAAATCTCTTTGAAAGAGCAGGAATACGAGATAAATCGAGATCAAGTGGAAGCTTAACGAATTGAGGACGACCGTTCTCATCGGAGAGTACGTGCAGGTCAAATCCTAGCAGAACAGTAAACGGGTCTCATCCAGTAAGAGGGGCATTGTGATGCAACGTCAAGTGGCTGCCTTCACCCCCAACCCAACCCTTACCTCCCAGGAAGGTCTTTCAGGGCGTGACGAAGCTTTTTGAAAACGGTCTTTTGCATGATATAGGGGCAGATGCGGGAACCACAGAACCATGTTTAATTTTTCCTGAACGGCCCTCTGAATACCAGAAAAGGGGGTCCCTAGTTCGATTCCTCTTGGTGACAAATTTTTGCATTTCGAGTTGACGTTCCAAAATTCGCGCAAAATGGAGTTAGCATGAATAATTAGTACCATATTCATGATTAGGGCCGTCAGTAACTCCTACAAAAAGACTTTGACTTAAAAATTGGTGTGAGAGGTGTGACATCAAGCAGCCCCACTGTGGTGTCACACCTTTTTCACCAGTTTTTTAATCAAAGTCTATTTGTAAGGGTTACTGACGGTCCTAATCATGAATATGGTACTAATTATTCATGCTAACTCCATTTTGCGCGAATTTTGGAACGTCAACTCGAAATGCAAAAATTTGTCACCACGAGGAATCGAACTAGGGACCCCTTTTCTGGTATTCAGAGGGCCGTTCAGGAAAAATTAACATGGTTCTGTGGTCCCCGCATCTGCCCCTATATCATGCAAAAGACCGTTTTCAAAAAGCTTGTCACGCCCTGAAAGACCTTCCTGGTAGACTGCTTCACTCCCCCTGGCTTACGGGGTCCCGTACTTCGAGAAACCTGTGCGCCAGGGGGAGTGTAGGCAGTCTAGGGGGGTGGGGGGTGAGGGCAGCCACTTGATGCCCCCCCTTACTGGATGAGACCCCAGTAAACAGATGATGCTGGCAGAGGTTGTCCTGCAGCAGCATTTTCCTTTTGTAGGACTAGGCCATTCATCTAGCCCACAGTGCCGTTTTCTAGTTAAAAAAAATATGGAGGTGGTAGGAAAACTCCATAGTGAGAAGGACGAGCGGCAACTTCTGGAATTAGAAACTCCACTAGACCATAAACTGAAAGAAGGATCCAAATAATGCCATTTTGTGATTTATCAACTAAGATATGTAGAAATTTAACTGTTTGGTTTTTAAGTTCGCATCTCCAATAAAAAATTTAGAAGCGAATTCTTAGCGCCTTTGTGGGCTTTATAGGGAAAATCCAGTAAGTTCCCTCATGTAACAAATTACTGGGCATTTGGTTTTCGGGCGAGCACTGGGCATCTTTCTCGAGTGTGGCAAGAAATGCATCAAATTATGAAAAACCTACATAACTTTTCATAACTAATACCAGAAAGAATGAACCTTTAGGCATTGAATCAGTCTTTTGTTGGGAAGCGCCACGCATCCTACTTCCATTCAGAATCTTATGGTTAGTGGCATTTAAATGTATATAGCCTATAAATACAATTGGTTGGATGGGTGAGATTCGACCCAAGCGTGCAACTAAGAAGTGAAGCCACTTGCAACTATACAGCTCCGCTCGAAGTGACTTTCGGGGCTTCGATGAACCATTCAGCTATGAGATCAATGCCAAATTCGTAACTTGCGGAAGGCACTAGCAAATATTTGAAAATAGCGTCTTTATAGGGCATGCAACTAAGTTTTGCCGGCTTCGGTACCCCATAAGCTCATACGAAATCCATTTAGAAACTTTAGATCGCAGCAATGGAAAACAGTGGATACATTTCTAACGGCTCGATATCGTTTCTATCTATCCCTCAGTGTCGTTCAGGGTGCTTTTAGGTGACAGTGGAGATGAGAAGTGTAACGACTGTAATAAAGGGAAGGAACCGTCGACAAAGGCGAAAATAAAGCCCCACTAAATTAGCGTCCAAGTGAAACAGCATGGATTTGTAGGCGGGGTGTAAGGTGGAG